GACCGAACTGATCTTGTGAGATGGATCTCGATGGAACTCTTGGCTTTCTTGAGAACCTTAGTCCATGCTGTGTCTGTCATGCCTGTTGGCTTCTCACCGCTGAGTGCATCATCCAAATCTTGCTGTATCAGTACGTTCTTCATCATCCTTTGCCAATCCGTGAAGTCATCCTTGCCGTCAAAGGGCTTTAACGCAGGTCCTAGATCCGCATTCATCTTCCCTTTAGACATCGTAGAACCCCTTAACCTAGGCTCTCTGATACCACTTGTTAAATAACTCGCCTTCTAGATCTTGTTCTTTGATGTAACCGACGGCAATAGACTAAACTAGCAAATATTAGAACACTTAGAAACACACAAGAATTATACTGGTTCGGCAGAACTTTTGCCTACGTCCAGTTGTGATTTCTCTAGGTAGAGAAATCACCGCTCCTTTGATTAATAATAGAGATTACAGAACTTTTGCAACCCTAGAACTAATCTCAAAACTCTTGGCTGTCTCTGGCTGTTTTTCCTCTCCTTAAAATAAGCCTTGCCACACCCTATTTATAGATATAGAGTTGGCTTACATGTCCCAAGGCTGATTGGATTCCTATTCCTAAGTAGATTAGGAAATTACACTTATCCAAATCCTAATAGACTTCTAGAAATCCAAACCTGAATTGAATAAGGAAAACTGAAATTCTTTCCTAATCCCTCTAGGACAAGAATTGGTATACCTCTAATTTTCCTAAAACAATCCTAAACCAACTAGGACATATTTGACGAGCCAAAATCCTAACAGTTAATGCATTGCTATTTGCTTCACTGTTTATGATTCCATTGTGATACTTTTTGTTGATGCAGATTGAGATAGTATATGACTATGGAAAAGAAGATAATGAGTAAAAACCTGCATATTTTTCTTCTCGATAAATAAAGGTTAGCAATTTAATATCTGCTTGATATATGTGTTTTGCTTGGTATTTTCTTTATATGTTTTTAGGTGTGTGTAGTCACTCGTTTGGTCTTAGGAATGACACTGCTTGTTCTAAGAATCACACCATCCCTTATTAGTCATTTTGACACGGTGAATTCCACCTTTTGTCAATTCACCATTTCTTAACAGATTGGTGACATTAAGATTGACATTTTTTTTTTCCTTCCCTATTGTAAATAAATAGTTAAAGTGACTGTCGGAGAAGCACAGCTTATAGTATCACTATAATTTCATCAGGAAATCACAAATCTAGTCATACCAAAACCTGATCTTTTTTTTTTTTTTTACAATCCACAAGTCCAGATTTTTCTTTTCTCTTGACCTTTTTTTGTTCAATATGAAGCATTCAGCACACCCACATTGTGCCATTGATAACTGTAATGGGACTGTAGTCATAAACAGAAAATTTCAATTCCTTTGTTACTCATCTTGTATTAAGTCCTTGCATAATCTTGAGAAGTTGAAAGAAACAAAATAGTACACAGAAAGTGAAAGGAGAGTGAAATAAATAAAGAAAGAAGAGACAAAATGATTTGGACCTGGAAAAGAGTTAATGTGACTGAAACAAAACTTGAAGGAAAATGGTGGAAGGTAGAGGGCGCCTTAAATGTAATTTGCATTTAATTGGTAAGAATTCAAAAATTGCAAAAGAGAGAATCACGTTTCACAAACATTTCCACTGTTTGCAAGTGTTTGTATGTGTGCTCATGGATGGGAGATATCGCTCTAATTTATGGAGGGATTGGAGCTAATGTGGACGAGCATGATGTAGGCATTGAAGTCCACAGTGACAAACAAATTTGTGGCAATAGTCATCTTTAAGATGTTTGGATTGCCCTAGTAGAGAGAATTAGTATCTAACTGAGAAAGTAGATGGAGGGACATGGAGATAGTCAGCAAAGGACTAGAGGAGGGGGAGGGAGAGAAAACAAGGGAAGGCAATAAAACTCATGGGAGGTTGTTGCAAATGTTTCTTTGCTTATTTTTTAACTTCTCATTTATTCTTGTTAAGTGGTTTCAAATATTCATATTGCTGTGTACATAACGTTAAAATAAGAAATTCTGAACAAATTATTTGGCGGTTCTAGTGAACATGAATTTGGTTCACATTGGTGTTTTTTTATTGTTGAAAAGATGCTGCATAAGAAATCTAATTATCCTTAAGAAAACGGGGGAAGGAGAAGATAATAAGCTACTCATTTGGCTTGTTTTGTCGGGTATTTCATGTAGCAAATGCGTTGCACTTTCTTCCCTATTTTAAGATGCATCAATCATACCCTCCAATAGATTTTTTATGACTTTTCTATTGATGATATCTGTTGCTTTCACCAATGCAGATCAAGATGGAGAATGACTATGATGATGAAGATAATTATTGAGGCCAGCATCTTTGATATGTTACTTAAGCAAATGAAACAGTTTTAATTGCTTAGTTGCTCCTTTTTGAGGTGTATTTGGTGTTTTTGTTGACACAAAACAACAGTGACAACGTGGTATGTTGCAGGATTGGATTAAGCATGATGCTTAATATGCACAAATTTCTCCTGGTCAATGTAATTTGCATTTCCTTGGCTGCATTGTTAGGCCAATATGGTCCCATGAACCCCCACAATTGGGGTGGTGTAGTGCGGGTGTATCTGTGTGCTAAGTGTATATTGCGAGTAGTGAATTTGGGGAATTTGGCCATATAAGCGTCTAGATTTGGAGTTGGCCTTGATAAAATGCATAATGGATGCTTTTCGGTTCTCTCACTTTACCCATGCAATGGAGATTGTAAAGGCAAAGGTTGCGTAAAGTGTGCCTTGAAGAAATGAAATTGGAATGGATGGTCATTTGGTAGATATGTTTCTTTGTCAGTAATCTTGTTGCTAAACTAGGTTCAAGGTTCAAAGCCAAGATTCTCCTTTGTTTTTCGAAGAGGAAAGTGAAAATACTCGAAATTGTTGGATTGAGGTGAAAATTCATGCAGATAGGTATGGAAGATTTACAAGAAACGGCGTACAAACTTTTTGGTTTTAGCTAAAAGAGAAGATAAATTATGTTTATACCAAACAAAAAGTGATGCAATGTTAGTAGTTGGGTCATCATTTATCCAAAATAGAATAACCCTGGTGTGATTTTTACACGTTTCACAAGATGTTATTAATTCACATAATCACGTTGTAATAACTCACATAATCACGTTTCACAAGATGTTATTAATTCACATATTATAATATGAGTAGACAACGTTGTATTAATAAAAGCAAAATTACGTATTTTTACGTAAATCAATAACACCACATGACAGTTTTATGACCACACCAAAAGAATTATCGAGTCATACATGCACTCCGATATGGAGAGAGGGTGCGGTAGGAATTGGGAGACTAAGGAGAGTGCTTGTAATTATAAGCTTGAAGACCAACACCATTGAATTGAATTTGATAGGAAAAGATGATTAGGACATTACGAATTTTAAATCAGTTATGCACGCATGATAAACCTGAGAAACCAATGAGGGCCGATGGAATTGGAAGAAACCAAAAAGTGTTTCAACAACTGTAAAAAAAAGAAAAAGAAAGAGGTTTCATTTGGTTAGAAGCTTAAGACGTGTCCATTTCGAAGTGCCTCTCATTGTGGAAACGTATTTAAGGAGTTGGTGTCCATTTCAAAGTCTCTTTCGTCAACTCTGAAATTGGTATAAATCGTGATAAATTTTTTTTATTTTATAATTATGATTGATTTATATTGGAACGGCAATGATAACTCCCAATGAAGCAGAGAGGGTATTTTACTCATAAATGGGGTAACAATTCATAGTTGCCATCTCTTTCCTGTTTTGACAGCACTTGTTTGTTTATATTTGAATTTAGTGATGACCCAACTAACTTATAGAACATATAGTTTGTTCTCCCCTCTCTCTCGCATGACCCATAAACCATCAACCCTTTTCAGTTTTCCAGTGCCAAAACCATTTCTTTGTTGTTTCTTTGTTGCTTCTCTGCTTTTTGGTTCCCTTGAATTCTGGCCAAAGATGGAGGAAGAAGCCATAAGGGTTTTGGGTTGGAAAGTAGGGAGAGATTTCACAACCCTATGTGCAACAATATTTCCTGTATTGGCTTCTCTCATCATGGTGGTTTTGTTCCTGTGGACCATTTGGTCTGAATCTGAAGCTGCAAAGAAGGCAAGCATAAACAGTGGGTATAACAATTGGGGATTCTGTATTGGAGTCTTAACCCTAGTACTTGGTTTCTTGTTCTTGGCTGCTGGGCTTCCTTTACTCGCAGACTTGGTTATGAAATTGTCGGAGCAATTGCAGAACCATGAGGAGAGCAGAAAACATCAAGGTATTAAGTTAATAACCAGAACCAAAATTCAGAAATTTCATTCTGTCAGATGATCATCTCATTGTCAATTTTCTACGTATGCTTTTCCGAACTTTAGTCTGTTCCAAACACCAGAAAAACTTACCTGCACCGGTTATATAACCGGAATATGGCAGTTTTACTCTCTGAACACACATCAAAAGCCAAAGAGTTCAATTCAATTGTACATCTAATGCCTTCTCAACTATTTTATGAATTTTCATGCATCTGAACTTTTCATGTTTATGTGAACGAGTGTGAGTCAATATAGCATATTTTGACAACTATCAGCTTACTTGATTCCTAATGATATAGGAGGGAAGTGGAAGACAATATGTATCATCAGCCGCCTAGCTATAAGCATCATTGCAATGTTCACGCTAGCATGGGCCATTAACACCGGAATTAGGCTTGCAACTGAACCTAGAAGAGAAGGGAAATATTATCCTCTAGCAACCCCAGTTGGTGTTGTTACTATTATGTTTGGCTTCACTTATTCTATCATTGGACTCTGTGTAATTGCAGAGCTAGCACTAGAATTGATAAAGCAGTTGCAAAGTACAGAGAAAGAAGAATTAGTTAATCATCAAGTTGGCAAAATAGATGTCAAATTTTTTGTTTGACATTGCTACAATACATCATACTACGTGCAAATATCATGCTCTTGCTGATCAGTAAGTAGATTTAGTTCATTTCAACCACAAAGAAGGAAAGGTTTTTGGTTTCAGATGCTCTATTGGCTTGTCATTTTATTCATTTTCCCACCAATTTATGACCATTCAGCAATCTGTAATCGATATTCAGAACATGTAGGTTGGCTCTAAGGTTTTGCCCTCCATGTTCCATAGGCATGCGGCTAATGCTACGAGATGAACCACTAAGTGTTTTCACCCCGCTCACAAACTGCACATCATAATGGCCTCTATCCCTATTCATAAAGCACTTCGAAAATTATAGTTGGTGTCCATCATTCTCAGAACAAGCAATCCTAGTATGCTACAACTCCCTTTTCACCAGTCAGTCTATGCTCAAGTGTACTTGTACCTAGTTCTCTAGTCCTAATCTTTTCACCAATCTGTCTCTCTGGTAATTTTGTTCTAACATATATCTTCAATTGTGAAGTGTGATCTTATAAAATAAAAAACTTACACACACATGATAAGAAATTTGAAAATAATACAGGCAATTCATATTCGAGGGCTTCCGAAATTATTCTTTTTTATGTGAATATGTATAACCAGAATCTGATTTACAAGTTTACGTTAGAACATGAAAGATTAAGACTCGTCCTACAAGCATCCCTTGCTAAGTTTTTCCTGAGCAAAGGAAGTACTTCACGGTATACTCATGAAATGCCTACTACAAGACCATTCATTATTTTCCATCTTAACCTCACCATTCTAAGTAGCTCAGAATTATAATTTTCAATCTTATGCATTCCATTTTGTGATTTTAAAAAGAAGAAGTAATAAGATTAAGACCCATCAAACAAAATGATAATAAAAGCATGTAAAACCCAAGAACAGCATAAAGCATTCATATAATGTACACATTCTGATAACAAGGCATAAATGAAACCCTTCAAACCCTTAAAATTGGGAGATAACGTTACATATATTGAGCTAAAACCCTAAGGAAAAAGCTAACAAGGGTTAAGAAAGAAAGACAAGTGAGAATTCAAATTCAAATTCAAATATTTAGATGAGCTTGAAAGGAAGAGGCCAAGGAGTGGACCTGGGCACCTCAACCTTGTCCTTGATGCGCTCTATCTTCTTCTCCTTCTTCGGTCGAGCGTTTCCGTACGACCCTTTGAATCGCTTTCCTTTCTTCGTCTTCTTGTCCCCTCGTCCACACACGATCGGCGCCCCAATAGAACTCATTCTCGCCGCTGCTGCTACTGCTGAAGAAGATGATGATGAGGTTGTTGTGAAAAGGGCACGCTGCTCCGTCATCAGCACCCGCCTTGCTACTGCGCCGCACCACTGCATCATCGCCATTTCTCCTGCCCACTCGTTTAGTACAGAGAGAAGCTGTGAAAGGGGTAGACATATTTAGGTGATGACAGAATGGGCTGGGCTTGTTGGGTTATTTTTTTTGCCCAAGCCCATTAAGGGCCCAATAATATTCTTGTTGGAAAATGGATGATGGAAATGGCCTTGTGGTTCCAAATCAAACACATTGCCATACGTTTATTAGTGACTAAAATTGGTATTCAATCGTCATCTTTCTTTGTTTCACTACCAACACAGAAAAAGAAGTCAAGAAAGCAGCTTGTTCTATCACAGAGATTGAGCTTTGCAACAATGGAGCTCTGTAGAGCCACTGCCTTCTCATGGACCCACACTGTCTCTACCTCTCTTCATGTCTCTCTGCCCCTCTCTGTTAGTACCCAGCTCTCCCATTTTTCATTCTTGCTTTCTCACTTTGTTCACACAATGCTCCTTTCTTTTTTCCTTAAAATTTGTTTCATTTTATCTTTTTTGGGTTTTTAGAAGTTTGAGACTAAGAGACTCAGTGTTTGGTGCGCCTCTGATCAAACCCAGAAGGTATGCTCTTCAAATTTTGAATCTTTTCACACTCACATTTTGCTGATGATTCTGTGACAGTATTTGCGAGCGTAGCTAATTCATTTGGGCACTTCAATCTTACTAGAATTTTGTATGCTGGTGCTCTAATCTTGTTAAACTAACTAACTTCCCTCCTCTTTGCAATGCAATTTGGACCAAAGTTGTGGAGATTAGACTACACAAAGTTACTTATCATCAGTCCTTTCTATAACATGGTGGTGTCATTGATTAGGATGAAGCATTTGTGTGTGTGTGTGTGTGGTTAACAAGTTAAATATTATGTAGGTTGCCTTTTGTTTGTTGGAGATTTCATTGACCCTTTGCAGGTTGTCATAGGCAAATACAATGACCGTATCAGTAACTGGAGCCACGGGTTTTATCGGTAGAAGATTGGTGCAAAGGCTGCATGCAGGTCATTTGAATTCCACCTCCAAAATTATATAATCTTGCAACTAATATGCAGTGTGTTATTGTATTACCCTTACGTGTTAAGGTGTTATTATGCATTCCACCTCGGCTTAATGTTTTTCTTTTGGTATTTAATTATCTCCAATTGACTATTGATCCGATCCTTATTTTTACTGGAGCGGGCGAGTGCATACATGCATTTCTTTCAGTATTTGTGTGCATAACAAGGCACATTTAGAACCAAATCAAATCATTTCAAGGTTATGGTGTTGCTTGATTGCATTTACTAAGACTATATTGCCTAATACTTTTTTCCTATGTATAAAGCTGAAACTTATACTGCATGTCCATGCATTGCGCTAACTTAAATTTCCTTTTAATCCAATTTGGAATGCAGATAATCATAGTGTGCATGTCTTGACACGGTCTAGATCCAAGGCTGAGTTAATTTTTCCTGGTAAGAAGGTAATGTATACGTGTAGTTATTCGGCAACATGTTCAATAACCTCCCCTCACAAGGAAAAAAAAAAAAAAAAAAGGAAGAAATTTCTCATTTGCACTTTAAGCAAACTGTTGTGTTAAATGTTTTATGCTTGATAAACATTTTTGGGCCTGTCTCCTGTTGTTTCTTAAGTCATTGATTCAGTTATATTTTGGGCGAACATGTGAGGGGAGTATTAGTGTTTGTATTGAATGTGCTTGATTGATATACATTGTTGGGCTTGTTTCCTAAGAGTTTTATTTTTTGGGTTAACATAAACAATATTCAATTTCTTTCTTAAAAAATTAAAAATATTTCTAAATCTAAAATACTATTGCATACATATACAGATGGAAATTAACCACTTCCAGAACTCCTTGATTCATTGCTAAATGTCATTCGTTTTTTCTCTGTTAATAGTGAGATAACTAGTCTTCTGCATACCTTGTTTCTTTTATGGTTTAATACTGGAGATGTTCCTTGCCACTTGTAGTCAAGGAATTTCCAGGAATTGTGATTGCAGAGGAGCCAGAATGGAAAGACAGTATCCGAGGTTCAAATGGCGTTGTAAATTTAGCTGGAGTGCCCATAAGTACAAGATGGTCTCCTGAGGTTGGTATCACTTGCTCATTTCGATCTTCCATTTCCATCTACTACCATTTACCTTTTTACTTAGCAACTAGTGATTACATGAATCAAAGATATAAACTTTTTGCCGCACTACTTTAGAGACTCTTCTTGGGTCTCACTCACTGCTGTGTAAATAATTTTTATTGTCAAGCTCGTGCTTGTGACCTATTATCTGAAATATGATTAAAGGTATTAAATTAATCATAAAATGTTTTATCTTCAGCAAATAACATTAATGTATAATAAAATGAAAATTATTATAGTAGGAAAATTTTGTCATGAATTGACAGAACATTATATGGTATGTGACTCATATGATGTGTCAATATCAAAAGTCAACATATTGTTAGGCATCCCTAGAAGCTGGTGGTAGTTACTAACTTCTCATTGGACTGTAGATAAAGAAAGAGATCAAGGATAGCAGGATTAGAGTCACCTCAAAGGTAACCAGTTGTTTCTTATACAGAACCACTCATGCTGCAGTCAAAATTAAAATTCACTTTCTCCTATATTTCTTACTGATGCAAAAACTAATTTGGCCTTTCAACTAATTGTGAAGGTCATAGATTTAATAAATGATTTACCAGATTCCGTCCGGCCTACAGTCTTGGTTAGCGCAACAGCCGTCGGTTACTATGGTCCATTCTGTCCTACTCTTTTTATCTGTTAATGCCAATGTGTCACACTTTTGCTTGTTTTCAATTAATTTCAGTGATTTTTGTTGCTCTGTTAATATTAATCTGTTAAGCATTTTAGATATTCATGTGGAATTTGTTCGTATTCTTGAGACCATTAGATTCTAATGGAGCATTTGGATACCCCACGGAACTGGAGTGTCCTTAAATATTTCATTTTACCCATATGTTTTTTGAATTTTTCTCAGAGTTTAGTATGATTGTCATATTGCATGAGTCACAAAGTTCCACAGAAATTACAATTAGGTGCTTGGTTCTGAAAACTGTTTTCAATCATTGATAAAGTTCATACTGATACCTCCTCATGTCACGCCCCATTAGAAAACCAGTTAGCAAATATTATATTGTCATCGCATTGAGGCAATGCTCATTCTCTGCCTCTCACTGGCATATGATTTTCCATTGCTTTAAATGCTCAAGAATGTATAATCCAAATTTGAGGAGCCTCTTTATATCTTGCATTGCTAAACCCAACTTCCAGTTTCCATTTTCTCATGTTTATTTATCTTAAGTTTTTCATGTTCAGGTACTAGTGAGACACAAGTATTTGATGAACAAAGTCCATCAGGAAATGATTACTTGGCTGAGGTATGCAATGACATAATTTATATTATGTATATTTTATGCATAATCATAATTATTATTTTTTTAAATGAATGAAGTCTATATGAGGTGGTAAGATATGCTTAAAACTTATAAAATTTTGGTACCATCTACCAATTGGTCTAGTGGTACTTTTCTTTCCAATGTTGGAAGAGGTCTAGAGTTCGAATCCCCCTCCCCCATTAATAAAAACAAAAAATTTATATAAAAAAAACTTCTAAAATTTCGGTTATGTAGTATGTTCCAGAATATTAACTAACTGGTTATCATACTACATAAATGTAATATGTATAATCAGGTTGCGTCAACGGCAGAACCAAAAACCAAGGTGGAGAAGCCACCTGTTGAGGGATGGGATTGTGATTGTACTTCTACTTGAGAAAAAGGGAGAAGGAGAAAAATGAATGAAGTTGTTTTGTAGTAGGTTAATCCAGGAGTACTTGTTACATAGAACATGTGCGTAAGTTATTTTAAATCTGGAGATCCTTAAGGAATAATGGTAAACTATAGAACAATTGGAGAGATTTAGGGAGAGGTTTAAGGGATATGAATTCGAAACTAAAATTAAATGAACTATTTGACCCTCAGTTCTTCTAACCCTTAAACATGGAGAATTACTTTTGTCCTTCTAGTGTAGAGACCAAAGTGGGTGAATCTCCTTATCAATAGTATATAGAAATTGATATAGGGAGCTTTAATACACACTTTCATATTGGATATATCATTCCTTTGCTGATCTGTTATTTAAAAGTTATAGGCTGCGTTGATGAAGATCTCAAGTTTGTGACTGTAACTTATGTATGCCTAACTTTTAACCATGTGGTGCTTGCCTGATCAAGTAGAATATTTCCTGATTATGTTAAATCTTTTTTTTTTAATGAAGATTATGCTAAATCATGTTTAATCCCTGGTTTTCGTTGCGAACACTATCCTAGGTCTTTTGCAGTTCAGATGAGTTAGAATTATGTTTTATTGTTTTCCTTTTAGAGTTTAAAGCTCGTAGTCAATGGAGTCTACTGTTATTATGAATAGAACAATCAACCTTCAAACCATGAACATATTCTCTGTTCGGCTACATTCTGCAATATATCATCACTTTTTATTACTAACAAATGACTTCCAATGCATGAAGAAATATGACTTCTGCTTGTTCTTTTAAGCTCAACATTTCATCCTCGTCTTAAACTAAAATGCAACCTTTCAGGTTTGTAGAGAATGGGAAGCAACTGCCCTCAAAGTAAATAAGGATGTGAGGTTAGCACTTATTCGCATAGGTGTTGTGCTTGGCAAAGATGGCGGTGCTTTAGGTATGAATAGTCCTGTCAACCCTTACTTCCCTTGTATGCGCATGAACTGAACTTATCTACTTTGACTGTGGCTATGACTGGTACTATGAAATGAACCCTTGCATTGTATGCTCACGTTGCGTATGACTAGTACTTCACCCTTGCATGTATGCTCATTAACAAAACTTGCCTACTTGGATTTTGGGTTTGTCCACTTTACTGTTTAATTATACATTGACCAATCTGGTTATGCTTAGGGTTGCATGATCTTTTCAGACCCAAAAAAAAAAAGGGTTGCATGATCTCATAATTGTATAGGGATATTTTATGCATAGTTATCTCTAATGTTCTATTTCTGTTGTCATCTAAGAAAAATATACTAGCAAAAATGTTCTAAAAAGTTGTATGGTTTTTATCTTCTTAGCGTAACAATTATACATATCTAAAATTTTGTTGGTTTCAAGGTAACAAAGCTTCTCCTGCCTCACACATACTTACACCTTTGAGCTTCTGCAGCTAAAATGATCCCTCTCTTCATGGTGTTTGCTGGAGGACCCTTGGGCTCTGGAAAACAATGGTATTTTTCTTAAATTTCAGTCCTTTGTAAGAGTAGTCTGTCACACTTTTGTGCTACTAACACTGTAAGGTTGGCATTTTCCTCTGGTTCGGCATTAAAAAGGAAAATTTAAGCATTTCAATTATGTTAATGAATTAATATAACTTGACAAATTATGTTTTTACTTTCAACATGTATTATCTACTGGATGCCTGTTTAATGAAGAGAAGAAAATAAATGCACCGAAGATATCAACAAATGTATTTATTATTCTCAATGTGCTGTAGGTTTTCCTGGATTCATCTGGATGACATAGTGAACCTGATATATGAAGCTCTATCCAATCCATCTTATAAAGGTAAAGATTTCATTATTTGTAATTTTAATTATAGTTTTAGCAAAGTACAAAAGGATTGATGTTGGAATAAAACCAACATACTGGTGCTGAAACTGATGATTCCCTGTTTTCATCTAAAGTTTGCTAGCACATGGAGATAACTACACTTCTAAAGAGTTCTAGTACTCTATTAATCTAACATACCGTTTCATATTATTATATCTTGTTCCCTTCTCAAAGCTACTCAAATTAACTGACATATGCAGTCACAGTAGATATCAAATGTTTTCTTTACCATACCTGCATACAAATATACGATAAATGTGTTAAGCTTTTCAACAATTACCAAAATCTCAGGAGTTATCAAATTTTCACCTAGGCTATCCATGTGATACTGGTTCTCGGAACTTTTCAATATATTGAACCCGGTTGTTAAAACCTTAATCTCAGGGGTTATCAATGGAACTGCACCCAACCCGGTTCGATTTGCAGAAATGTGTGAACATTTGGGAAATGTCTTGGGTAGGCCTTCATGGCTGCCTGTACCAGATTTCGCCCTGAAAGTGGTCCTTGGAGAAGGTGCTTCTGTGGTAAGAATTTTCTTTATCTTCTTTTCAATTTTCTCCTGAGTGCATATTGCTCATTAACTCAATAAGGTAATTGCAGGTTCTGGATGGGCAAAGGGTGCTTCCAGTTAAAGCCAAAGAATTAGGCTTCACGTTCAAGTACTCTTCTGTGAAAGATGCTTTAAGATCCATTATTTCACAATAAGTGACCTAATGTGACAAAGGAAACATCCATGGTTCTTCATTCTTTTAGGTATTGTTATAATAAGTTGCAGAAGAAACATCTTCCTTTTCATTCTTTTTGTTAGATATAAGAAATTCAGATTCAAGTAATCAAGTGAGATTTGGGTCCTTGTATTGTAGATGCTATGGATCGGCTGTCCTGGCTCCTTAACCAATTACAAAGTTTTTAAGTGGTTACTATATTCACACGCCTCTAAAAACAAATTTTGAAAGTGTTTTATATAAATCACACTACTTCCAACTATATGGCGTTCTCTTGATTCTGCATCATCAGCAATTTTTATTAGGATAGGGGGATGGGTAGAGTGTGGGACGATGGCTGGGGAGGAAGGAAAAGCAAGAGAAGATTAGGGAGAAGGGTTGAGGGTAGGTAGCCGAGGCTGTGTATAATTTGGGGTTTTGAACTTGTTTTCAATTTTTAATTAAGTAATTTGTTTAGTATTGTTTACCCTAAATCTGAGCCTTAGAATAGGCTTGAGATTATATGATTTGCGTGCGTGCCAATATTAGCAGTATAAAACCCAAAACTTGAATGAGAATTGTAACTTGCGCACCAAGTAAATAACTTTAGTCAAAGCAATTGTGAATTGAATGGATGTTCTTTTCTATGCCTCGAGACAAGACAAATGAGTACTTTATAATCTCTCTAATACAAGGGAAGGGAATAGAAAGAAAACAAACAGTAAACAAAAAAGGATCATAATAGATAGATCTTACAAGACCGGGGACTACTACCACCTTGGATCACTTCTGGATCGATTAGAAGGCTTGGAATTGTTGAAGAATATGAGTCTCACATCTAAAATTTGATTAAATAAAATACAAAATATAATGAATGGTTCTACTACTAATAACACCGAGGTCTTTTGTGATAAAACTTCACACCTACTTGACTTTGTAGGTGGTTAAGTTGGGGACAATATCGGTGTTGTTAGTAGTTGGTCGCTGGCCCGTCTCTCTAAATTTAACATGGTATCGGAGCGGTTTGATTGATTGGATTTGAATTGGGCCTCTACCCTTCCCCAATATGTGGTGTTCACATGTTGGGCTTAAATGTTTACTCCTACCATTTACCCAATACCTGGTGCTCACGTGTTGGGCTTGAATAATTAACTCTGATGTGGACTTGGCTTCATGTGTGGAATATGAGTTCTCATATCGGAAACTTGATTAAATAAAATATAAAATATAATGAATGGTTAAGTTGGAGACAATATTGGTATTGTTAGTAGTGGGCCGCTGGCCCGTCTCTCTAAATTTAACAAGAATCTGGGCAACAGTTCAATTCTTCCAAACCAACTAATTCAATCCAATTCAATTTTAATTGAAATACAAGTAATGAACCGACGTACACCCCTATGTGTATGAGTTTGTAATGACCTCATAAATTGGGGGTTTATTGTAGTTGACATGGAAAAAAAAAATTTGTGAAACGGCGGAAGTTAATACAGCCCGAAACGACCCTGAACAGACTGTCGTTTAATCCTTCAATACTGTGCTATAACTTTACCTCCTCCCACGAGCAAAGACGCAAAGCTCGGAGACTAGTTCTATGCCAAAACCTCACGTCACGCCTGGTAATGGTATCTCATCAACTTGGACGACTCGTGCCCACCACCTCGTGATTGCATTCATTTCCACAATAAATTAAATTTCTCTCCAGATTTTCTTCTTTGTTATTTCCTTTTTATGTGCATTGCATGCACTGTTTCCCCGAAAAAAAAAAGGCGCTTGCTCTTGAAGACCCAGTTGAGCCAGTGCTTTCCTTTGGCAGAGAGACTAGCCTTTTTCAACTCTTTAAGCTCTGTTCTATCTGGGTTTTTGCTAAAATGGAGGAGGGTCTTGTTGGGTTGCTCAGAACAGCTTGGATTGCAGCGATACTGCCTCTACTCATAGCTTCTGTACCTTCTTCTAGGCTGAGCTCATTTCATGGAGCTGTTTTGGAATTTGCCAAGAGAGGGAAGATCATGAAATCTTCTTCTCAGGTTAGTGATTGATTGCTTAACATGATTGATTGATTGATTGATTGTGATTGTCTTTTTAGGTTTATGGTCCGTTTGGTTGGGGAGAAAGTGGAAGAAAATAAATAAGTTTAAAGGTTTAAATTTTAAATTGTGATGGGTTTTGGAGGATGTAAACTCTTAACTAAGTGAATTTTGTACCGAGCTGAGTAGAAGTGAGGAGGCTTTCCCTCGTTTACTTTTCATTTCCAACATTTTCTCCGTAACAAACAGAGATTTTCTGAATTTGGAATATTTCCTTGGTTGATAGCATGACCTATGAGTTTGAAGGATTCATATTCTTGTCTATATAGTTTTCAAAAAATTGCAGCAATGGAATCTTCTCTATTTAGTTTTGTTCTTTAGTTCCTTGCATGATCAATTTTCCCATTTTCAAACTTCAGAAATTTTGCTGTTCTTGTATTGTAGAAGTTCACAGTTCCTCAAAAGTTCTTCTGCCATTTCTATTTGGTGGCTGTAGTGTGGACAACCTTACTCCTTGTTACAACTGGGATGTATGCGTATAAAACAGTGCCATTGGTTTATCCTACATTTCCCAGCCAATTGACTGGAGGTTCACACATCTTTTCATGGCATAAGTCTCATTCGATTCCTGTAAGTTATAGATATGGCGTTTGGCGTTCTGTCTTTCTGCTTTTATTGATGGAAGTTCAAGTCTTGAGGCGCCTCTTTGAGACAATATATGTATTCAACTATAGCTCCTCTGCTCGGATGCACATTTTCGGATATCTGACTGGACTCTTGTAAGTTATTTCAGAAACCCTTGTCCTTTCAATTTTTTGCTTTGTGCAATACATATATTGATTTGCAGCATGCATCTTTTCAACTGCTTTCAAGATGTCATTAATTTACGGCATCTTTAATGGTATTGTTGTTCATACAAGTTGAGATACCCCTTCCAAATTATACCTGTTCGTTGTGAAAACCAAATCTCAAATGATAAAGCGTAAGAAAGTTGGCTGAAATTCATATTTTCTATAACCGCTACTGCAGTTTTCCATAGGTTAAGCCTGGTTAAAACATCTCCGACTTTTTTCTTTCTTGCAAGATGTACTCTCTTCTATATAATAGATATTGTTTTAATAATTGTAAAATTTAGGAGTCATATATTTATGGGAACTCATAACTGACTAACCTTTTTGTTCTGGAATGACAAATGTTTTGCAGATGTCAATTTCCCATGTTCTTTCACGTTTACTGTATACATGATAGATGTTCTACTGATTTATGTTATTTTCTGATGTTAGCTTCTACACAGCAGCACCGTTGTCACTTTGCTGCAATAATGCTCTGGAGGTGTATAAATTTTCATTGAATGCAGTGGCTGAGTTCATTGTCAAAGGCAAGACTACTATGCAACACATGGAATTTGATTGGTTGGAATTTGTGGGTTCTCTTTTGAGGCTTCGTTGGCTCCAATGGACTGGTGCGGTTATATTCTTTTGGGGCTGGATCCATCAGCGCAATTGCCATGCAATTCTTGTATGTTTCATCACACGCACATACTCTCTCTTCTGCTGTTCGAGTAAACATGTATTCTATGCCCTAAGAAATCATACTAAGTTGTTTAAATTTGAAGAAATATATAAAACAAAATGGAATAACCTGACATCCACGAGGTGCTGCAGAAATATATACTGAACTGAATCATTTCATACAGCTGATTAGAGGAATTTATATCTGTTGTTTCTTATTTCAATCCTCTTTGCATTCACTTTTATGCTGTCCACTGACTTACGAATATATTTAACAGGGCTCATTACGGGAACACAGTGGACAAAATGATGAATATGTGATTCCTCATGGTGATTGGTTTGAAGTTGTTTCATCTCCACACTATCTGGCTGAGATAGTAAGTCTCATGCTTCCTTTCACTGCCTGCCTCAGGAGTATTCTTTTGTCATGATTAACTTTGAACTTCTTCCTGAGTCTTGATTTATATGGTTAATTGCTTTTCTGGTGATGATGAAGGTTATATATGCTGGCCTTGTGGTTGCTAGTGGAGGAACAGACCCTACAATCTGGTTACTTTTTGGATTTGTGGTACGATTTTTGTTTTTTATACTGAAAATATAATGTACATAAACATGCATACAGAAGAGTGCTCACGTGCACACATGCACACGAGAGAACAAGAGTCCACACACGCACAAGAGACTGATGTCCTCTATAGTGACTTTACTCTTTCATTGGGGTATCTTTCAGGTGTCAAACTTGGTATTTGCAGCAGCGGAAACACATAGGTGGTACCTCAAGAAGTTCAAGAATTATCCCAGTAATCGGCTTGCCATTTTTCCATTTGTATACTAAGTGCAAACATATAATAGCTTGTGCAAAGGTAAGTGATCGTAAGGCTTTGTTATACACACTTGAACAATCAATATGGTAGCTTCTTTTCTGCCCACAGCAAGCTGATGGAAAGATTGAAAACTTTGATGCCCTTCCCAAACTTTTTTTCTTGTTTAACAGAAAGAAGGGATGGATAGGAGAGCCTCTGACAAGTCTCCAATGTACAACTCTGTGGATCTTGACATACAAGCAAGTACATTGTAACTTGATACTCCGTACAATTTCATCCAAAGAAGCATGTAGCAACAAATAGGTATGCAATCTGTAATTGGTACACCAAACTATACATATGATTTACTTTAATGATCATTCTATTAAATATTAATACCAAACAAATACATATGGTTTACTTTAATGATCATTCTATTAAATATTAATACCAAACAAATACAACAGCCTTCATTTTATTTAGACTTTTCTTTGCAAGGCCTAATGCAAAGATGTACAAAATTATGGAGTTTTCGAACTAACCGATACAATGAGCATTGTTGGAGGACATAAAGCTCAGTTTATTGCAAGTGAAAATTCATAAGGGTTTCTGTTTTGCTTCCCTTTTTGTCACCCTTTGAAGAACATGTGGAAGCAGTGACTTGGAGGCTTTCGAATTATGCAGTTTATGCATAAACATCTACTCCCCAAGATAAGGAAGGTAGAGTGGTCCTGAATTTCTTGTCTATAGTATTGATCAGCTCTACGTCCTCTTTCTCCAGCTTGAAGTTAAGAACTTCCAAATTCTCTTTCAACCTCTCAACTTTTGAGGACTTTGGAATCACTGGTGTGCCCCTCTCAAGATTCCACCTCAGAGCAATCTGGGCCACACTCTTTTGGTACTTTTTAGCCAGACCCTGAAAAAGTAAGAGAAATAGGTGAACAAATATTTTATGAATGCCTAAAGTTCTCGTGCCAGAATGGGAATCTGGATCACACGAGAACCTGGATCACACGTTCATCTGATCGCATGATCGGTCGTTCGTATCTGTAGAAAGAGTATACTTACAATGAGAACCGGATCTTCCAGAGGTGAAATGGAACCAAATGCTTTGACATTAGCCGTAGCACCTCCTAGAGGGGTGTGGGCCATAGGTACAACTCCATGTTTCTTACAGAATCTGACGAGAGATTCACGCTGGAAATAAGGGTGAGTTTCAAATTGGCTCACTTGAGGCTTGATTTTGGCGTAAGATAAGCAATCTCTGGTCAGAAAGAGCTCGTAGTTGCTGCATATAATATCATCATTTTTCTGTTAGGACACAAGACCAATTGAAAAAAAAAAGATTCCCCACCAAAACATAAAAAACATTAACATAAAAGAGCCGATGATCATTTGATTCAATGACATTCACCTGAGACCAATGCTACGAACTAGGCCGAGGTCAACGGTCTTTTCCATGTCGTGCCATGTAGTTTCCAGGGAGACTGTTACGTCTATGTCCAACACCTTATTCTCGTCCAAAAGACTAGCAGTTGTACCAACTCCTGTGAGCACACAAGCAATGGGTCAAATACCAATTCGTTACAATCTAGATGAAACATACCATCTATCGGTTTTAGACACATGTCATGTTTTAATTGGATTATCCTAACGAAAGAAAACGAGAGAGAGAGAGAGAGAGATACCGCTATGCTTGGTGGCTAATGGGTAGTGAACAAGGTAGAGATCCAGATAATCTAACTGAAGCTTCTTCAGGCTATTTTTGCAGGCCTCAACCACATGCCCATGGTCTGAATTCCAAACCTGCAATTATACACACATGAACATAACAAATTATATGAGATAAGGTCTAATAATAATACTACTCTTAAAATTAAGCAACTTCATTAGATTGGCAATTAGACTACTGGCCTTGGAGGTGATGAAAAGTTCCTCCCTCTTGACAAGCCCACTCTGAATTGCTTCTGCAATTGCTTTCCCAACGTCTATCTCAGTCTTGTAATGAGCTGCAGCATATATATTCAAAATTTAATAAATAAAAGTGACAATATTTTTAAATTATAAAACAAAAAGAACAAAATTTATATTAGTTTTTAGGGTCACCAGGATTGTACTTTTTCTTTTTTCTTTTTTTGGTCGGGATTTTCCTATATCCTATGTGAAGCAAACATTTGACTGGTCCAAAAACATAGGAACGATCGTATGTGCCACTCATTTCTTTTCCTTCCCTCATCAAACTGCACCTTAATTATTCTAATTTGGCATGTTGTCGGTGGTGCACTTTTCTTTTGTCCGGCCAAACAAAGGAACCATGTAGGTTTAGTCAATTGTCCATGGTAGCGAGCTTTAGAATGATTTAAACTATCGTTTTGTTTTTTTTTTGTCTGAATTTAAACTATCGTTTGTAAAATAAATATATAAAAAAATTATAAAAATTATAAATTACAAAATAAAATTAAAAAAATTAAAAAAATTAAAAAATTAAAAAATTAAAAAATTAAAAAAAAATAAAAACCTTGTTTTTTACAACTCAACAACGCCTATTATTACAGTAAGAAGAAAAAAAACTTGTTTTTATTTGTCTTTATTCACAAGATATTGGAATATTAATGTAAAGATGAAGAAAAGATGGTCAATCTTGGAAAGAAAATAAGAAGAAGGTGAGGGGATGGAAGGGTACATACCAGCAGCATCAAAATGGCGATAGCCGAGCTTGATTGCGTTTAAGATGGCGCTCCTGAGCTCTTCTTTCTCCAGGCGCCAGAGGCCGAGACCGATGACGGGCATCTCGAAGCCATTGTTGAGAGTTATGGTGGACATAGTTTCTCACTCTCCAAACACAAACCGACTTCTGCAGTCTTTTTTTTTCTCTCTCTCTCTCTTTTCTCTCGTGTATGAGTATTTGCAGTGTTCTCTCTCGTGTTGTGAGTACTCAAACCTCGTGCCCCTTGTGACCTTATATAGCTGCATGGGCATGAAATAATTAAGGAAGCAGGCAAATTTAAATAAATAAAATTCAATAAAATAAAATAAAAATAAACTTTATGTTGGAAAAGGTGATTGGGTCCACATGAATAATGAAATGAACGGTGATTTTTTTAAATTTTAGCCCGGATGTTATGGGTCTTTATAATCTTTCGGGCTGACGTTGCGGTATCTTATTGCTCGTTTGATAATATTTTCGTTTTTAAAAAAAAAAAATTGGGAAATTGAAAACCATTTGGAATTATTTGTTTTTGGTTTTTGGTTTTCATTTTAGGTAATATTCTGTGCACACATTCTCTCCCTCATCCATCCTCCTTCCCCTTTCCTCCAATCATCCATGCCTCCCATTTCATCCAATCGTTCTCTCTCTCTTGTCGTGTATGTATTTTCTCTCTATCTTTTATTTATTACCGAAATAAAATAATAATAAAAACCGAAAACAAGGAATGAAAGTGTAACCAATCAGGTTGTAACAGTCTAGGTTGGCGTGTTGAGTTGCACATCGGTAAACTAATCCAGGGTTCAGAAGCAGTTGCAGAGAGCCTTAGTGACCAGTTTCTTTTAGGGTATAGCGACGAGGCGGCTTGCGGCTCCTGGGTCGTGACACAGGTCTTTTATAAAAAATAAATGAGAATCAAACGTAATTTTGCAATACCCAATGAGATAAGGTAAGCAAATTATGATGTTTTTGGGGCGGGAGAAATCAAACCTAGGATCTTAGGCGACTACAGGACTCAAATGAATTATGATGTATTAATCTCAATTTGTAAGAAGAGGGACTCTACGTAAAGTTCTTCTACGAAAAAGTTTTTGTTTTATCACCTTTGTGTACAAATCATATTTATATTTCGTCACCATTTAGGTTAAGCGATGATGAGATACATAACACATAGTTATATGAAATTAATATAAGAAGGAAAAAAAATTTCGCTGCCACTCCAACATCAATACTAGAATTATACACGAACTCACTATATTACGTTAAGCATGTGACGAGGGACACAACACAAAACGCATGATTGTTAGTAATCAACTTATAACCGACTACGAGCATGATTGTATGTAATCGACTTATAACCGACTATAACCAACTATAACCGACCATAGATAATGAAAAATTCTCCATGCCGACCTCGTTATCAACACCAGAATCATATATCGAACTGAACCATACTCTGCCACACACGTGAATGAGATAAAAGACAAAGCGTTTTAATTATATACCATCCTCCTTCCTTTCTACCCACACAAATATCAATCCCCTAACCTATAAGAAGTCAAGAACACTCCAGCCACGCCTTGGAAAATATTGTCTGTACCCTCTAATCTGTAGCGGGCTTTTGAACGAAAGGGGATTAGGGCATACAGGTGTCAGGTGAAAACCTAGCTCATCCTAGTTTTGTTGCTTCTTGGGCCTTCCTAGCTGAAAGTTACCCTGGCCTAAGGCCAGTACAAAAATAAGGCTGCGAAAGTCCCCAAACGCTGGATAAAATAAGCCCAAGTTTTGACAACCTTTTATCATTTATCCTCTGCACAATCTTTGTCCTCTTTTAACCAACCATTTCTAGGCCTTGGTGGCCTTGTGTTGGCCTAGTGGTCCTTATTAATCACACAATCTTTTTTTCTTTTTTTCTTTTTTTCTTTTTTTTTGTCACACAATCAGGGCTGGTGAAATTACGTCGCTTTGTTTTTTCCGATTGACAGGTAGGCATGTGGCTTGGTCAATTGAAAATCGACAGGCATGTGCAACCCTAATTAGAACAGTGACATAAGTTACGTGAACGGTGGAGAAAGACCTCTTTGAGATAGAGAAATATGGAGAAACTGTTTACTGTTTTCTTGGTTTGGAAAAACCGTTGCTATTACAAAAGCAACAATCTGAAGGTTTGGGGAAGCATTTTCCCATATCTACTGGGTATATTCTAATTCCTATCAACAACATGCTTCGAGAGGTTTAGATTTTTTCAAATAGGAGCCACAAGTTTCAAGAACTTCACCGTTATTCTTAGTGTTAGCGGGGGTGTCATGGTAATTTATCGCTTGGTACGTTAACACAACTCAAACTCAACATAAAGTTAATTAACGAGTTATAGGGTTAATCATTATTTAACACGGACACGAAGATAGCACAAACACTAAACGAATGAGACTATCGACAAGCATGAGAAACGAAACTTTGACAGATTAAAGAGAATGGTTAATTAATCTTTTCAACTTCTTAATAGGTGTTGTACGAGCCACTGCATAATTATAGGCTCAGTTTTGAGTTCACCTTTCCAAGCCATGTACATGGATTTACTCAGTTTCCATATTAATTTTATATATATATATATATATATATATAATTGGGTTAATAGTTTCTTATTATCATATCATGTCAAAATAAATCAACAAAATCAAATTTTGCTCTTATTAAAGGCCTTAAAATAATTATATAA